TTAAGTGCATCCGTGGACACACTGTATATAAATATATATATCATATATAGAATTAAAACGGCCATTTCAATCACGCAGACGGAACAAATCACAAAACTTTTATAAAAAAAATTGAAGGTATTTATTATATATTATTTTGGCATCAAAATTGTCAAAAAAAAATGTTTTATATAAGGCTATAAATTAAATAAAAGAAATGCAAGAAATATTTTATAAAACGAGATAATTTTTTTAATAATGTACAGTCGTGGATGGAACAAAAAAATATTTCATGTATTAAAGTTCTCTAAATAATAATAATAATAATAATAAAATACTTTATTTTCATCCCAAGAAACATACAGTTTATAGAGGGACACCTCTAATCATACAATTTAATAAATATTTTTTAATTCTTAATACATTTCTTAAATCTAAATTAATTTTACTTTATTAATAGATTTTAATTCTAAATAGGAACATATCATTTAAATATAATATCACAGAAAAAAGAAAAAATATCACGATATATCATTGTTTATTCAATAAAATTCGCCACACAAGACGACATATGCTTTTTAAATTTAAATCCTTTAAGTTCTTTTATATTGTTTGGTAATTTGTTATAAACAGATGCTCCCTTAAACAGTATAGAGTTTTTACCGAATTCTGAAAATACTCGAAAAAAAGGTATAAAATGTATGTATGTATGTAATTAGGAATAATTTCATGTAATCTGGGTTACATAATAAATTTCCCCAAACAGCGTAAAAATTTTACATCTGGCAACATTGCGATGAATTTCTTTGAATCTGACATTTCTTGACAGTTCTTGTCAAAAAATCTGTCAAAAAAAGCATTTTCAAACTTAATTTTCTCAAAAACTAGTGAAAAACCCGCAATTTTTATTTATGAAATTTACCATTTAAAACGCCCTTTTTCAAATGGTAATTTTTTTTTTTGGAAATTCAGAGTGTGCTATAGTGTTCTGGACCCAAAACCACATTTTAAGCATATTTAGGTGCGGAAAAACCAAACTTTCACTAAAATATATGTTTATAGTGTTAAATTCAACAAACCTTGCTTAAAACTGTCACCTTTTCTATGTACAGCACTGAATTTTAAATTGTCACAATTTAAAATGACAGAATTAGTGTTTTAAGGTTGGTTATCATGTATTTCAATGTTGTCAGATTTAAAATTGGCAAAAGTATTACATTATTTTGTAATTGAAAATGTATATTGTATCAAAATAAATTCCGAAATATGCTAAACATTAAAGGAAATATTGAAATTACGGAAGTATGAGCAAAATAAGTATAGGAATAATAATATAATATTATCTTAATTAACGGTACCTATGTAGGCAACCCAGATAACAACATATTTAAATTTATTATATTATCATTTAACTAAATACTTTAAATAATTTTAATTTAAATACTTATACATGTAATTATTAAAATAAATTATTTATATTAGGTATTGTATTAATTTTTGCACTTAATTTAATTTCATAATTTGAAAATTTTGTTTTTAAACAAAATTTGTTATTATTGCAGTTGTCATTTAATTGATATAGGTACCTTTTAAGTAGTGTAAATTTATTTGTGCTATTTGCTACTTATTTCAAAATGAATATTCAAAACATTAATAATGTTTATAAGCTTACATCTAAGCCAGATGGAGAGTTAATAACTGCATTACAGCAGGCTGGACTTGTAAAAGCCCAGTTACGCTGCAAGGTGAGGAACTGTACTTGAATTTGCATTTTAAGACCCAGAGCTGGAGTATATATATATATAACCTGGACCACGCCTTTTTAATAATAATAAAAATAATAATAATAATAATAATGTCCTCACGGGTAGTTTTTTCGATACAATAAAAGTATCTGTCCGCGACGTAATCCACATTATGTGGTATTGGGCTTGCGAGGTCAGGACTGGCCTCGTCGCCTAAATTATGGGTACGCGTCGTGGGCGAAATATCCCTAATATACCGATAGGTTTGAACAATCCGCCCACTACGAGTACCCATAATTTGGGCGACGGGGCCATTCCTGACCTCGCAAGCCCAATACCACATAATGTGGATTACGTCTGGGAGTTTTTGTTTGACCAAGCCCGGCTCGCTTCGATCGGCATTTATTTAATTTGATTACGTTTATAAAGAGCCTAGGCGGGCTTGGTCAGTGCCTGAGCCCAATTTCGCGCGCGCAAAATTGGGCTCAGGCACTGACCAAGCCCGCCTCGCTTCGCTCGGCATTTATAATAAATGATTTATTAAATTTAATTACGTTTGCCAAGAGCCTAGGCGGGCTTGGTCAGTGCCTGAGCCCAATTTTGCGTCATTTATTTAATTTAATTACGTTTACAAAGAGCCTAGGCGGGCTTGGTCAGTGCCTGAGCACAATTTTGCGAGCGCGAATTTGGACTCAGGGACTGACCAAGCCCGCCTCGCTTCGCTCGGCATTTATAATAAATGATTTATTAAATTTAATTACGTTTACAAAGAGCCTATGCGGGCTTGGTCAGTACCTTAGCCCAATTAAACGCGCGCCAAATCGGGCTCAGGCACTAAACAAGTCCGCCCCGCTTCGCTCGGCATTTATTTAATATGATTACGTGTGTCAATACTTTGTAAAAACTCATAGACTTTACAAGTTGCCTAGGCGGGCTTGATCTGTGCCTAAGCACATTTCATATAAGTTTTTGATATTGAATTTATTTTATTTTTAATAACAAATATCTTAGTAACAACAACTCACATGAAAAAACTTTATTTGGCTTTTTGGTTTATCCTTACAAGCTCTTCATATTAGACATTAAAAAAATTAACATTTTTTAATTTTGCAAAATCTACAATTGTATTTTTTTGCGCACCATGTTTGACAAAATAGGAGTTTCTCATCTTGAATGGTATTTATATAACAAGCAAAAGAAATTAAGAGTGACTTTTCCTCGAAAAATTGAAAATAAATATTTTTACAAGTATAGTTAAGTGCATCCATGGACACACTGTATATAAATATATATATATATATATATATATCATATATAGAATTAAAACGGCCATTTCAATCACGCGGACGGAACAAATCACAAAACTTTTATAAAAAAAATTGAAGGTATTTATTATATATTATTTTAGAATCAAAATTGTCAAAAAAAATTTTTATATAAGGCTATAAATTAAATAAAAGAAATGCAAGAAATATTTGATAAAACGAGATAATTTTTTTAATAATGTACAGTCGTGGATGGAACAAAAAAATATTTCATGTATTAAAGTTCTCTAAAAAATAATAATAATAATAATAATAAAATACTTTATTTTCATCCCAAGAAACATACAGTTTATAGAGGGACACCTCTAATCATACAATTTAATAAATATTTTTTAATTCTTAATACATTTCTTAAATCTAAATTAATTTTACTTTATTAATACATTTTAATTCTAAATAGGAACATATCATTTAAATATAATATCACAGAAAAAAGAAAAAATATCACGATATATCATTGTTTATTCAATAAAATTCGCCACACAAGACGACATATGCTTTTTAAATTTAAATCCTTTAAGTTCTTTTATATTGTTTGGTAATTTGTTATAAACAGATGCTCCCTTAAACAGTATAGAGTTTTTACCGAATTCTGAAAATACTCGAAAAAAGGTATAAAATGTATGTAATTAGGAATAATTTCATGTAATCTGGGTTGCATAATAAATTTCCCCAAACAGCGTAAAAATTTTACATCTGGCAACATTGCGATGAATTTCTTTGAATCTGACATTTCTTGACAGTTCTTGTCAAAAAATCTGTCAAAAAAAGCATTTTCAAACTTAATTTTCTCAAAAACTAGTGAAAAACCCGCAATTTTTATTTATGAAATTTACTATTTAAAACGCCCTTTTTCAAATGGTAAATTTTTTTATTGGAAATTCAGAGTGTGCTATAGTGTTCTGGACCCATATTTTATTATATGATTCAGAACACTACCAAGTATTTATACAAATATTTTGATAATTTTAAATTATGTACTTCTAAAAAAAAAATTAAATCAAAATATATATATGGATTTTGAACAAAATCTTTTCATTAATACCCTAGGCAGTCGTATGTCATTTGAAAGAGCATTTAAAATGCTGCAAAATGACACCTCTCCCAGCTTTCTAACTAAATTAGGACAGCTTCCAGCGCAATTTAAAAAATAAACGTTCACACTTTTTTCGCGAGTTTTTAAAAACTTTACATAGCCATATATCGGAAACGGTGTGAGATAAAAATTTAAAAATTGGTATTTTTCTTAGTCTTAGTACATAGTATAAGTATACCAAATTTTAGGAAAATCTGAAATGGTGAGGAAAAATTTCTTTTTAAAGTGTGTTGATTTGGCATGGAATGGCTCTGTTGTCTTTTGTTCTAGTGCCTGTAACCTGCATAGGTATAGGTAAATTTTTATTCATCAATTCAAGTATTTAAACATAAATATTGAAATACCTAAATTTAAGTTAAAAAATAAGTACTTAAATAAATAAATATATAACTATAAAAAATAGTATATTACACCACACAGGCCAATCGTTGAAATTTTGGTCCTGCGCGTCATGACGCGCAGAACCGAAATTTCAACGTTTGGCCTGTGTGGTGTATACTATTTTCTATATACATCGGTCGAAAGTACTTACTTTCATCCCTAATAGCACAGGGAATAAATGTTAAACTTTCGTCCCTGCTATTAGGGATGAAAGTATGTACTTTCAAACAAGGTATAAAGAAAAATTGTTTTTGAAACTCTAAAAACAGTGTTGTTTTAATAGTCATACCTATAAGTAATATAGAGTTTAAAACAATAATCCTATAAGTAATTATAGTACTATAACACGTGTTTTGTCAAGTAAAACTAGAAACATTTAATTAACTAAAATAAGTATTACCATTCTAGGAAAATACTTTTGAGCTTAAATTTACAAAAAAAAAACGGGCAAAATTTAATACCAAATTAATTTACCTCCCAACATCCTTTTTTGGTCAGCTCTTATTTGTTCAATAGTCTGGTTTTCTTTGGTCTTTGGTTGACTTCCACTCCCTCTTGACTCATCATTCCATTTACTATCCATTAGATTATCTCTGTCTTCAAGAAGTTTACTTTTACCCTGATCATTAAATTTCTTTTGCATGTGGAGGCCTTTTGAATGCAGCTCTTCAATTTGTCTTGTCCTCCTTTCAACTTCTGCAGATGTTCTTGTTTAAAAAAACAGATAAAAAATTATATTAAGCTAAATTAATAAACATTGATAACTCATGAACCCTTTAACCTCATAATTAACAATAAAATAATATTATTTAAAGCATGCACTTGAATTGTGTATATCTGATATGTAATAGGTAGGGAAACTCCTACAATTTATCATTTACTCACAAAATAAAATACAATGTTAAAAACTACATAAATTAAATTTAGTAAATAGCTGAAGTCACAGTAACTTACATTGAATCAGATCTGGCTGAAACATTTAATTTTTGAGTAAGTTGTCCAACTTCATTATTATATTGTTTTAATCGTAGCCGAATGTTTGCTGATATTTGGTTATATTTATCACTTGTTCTATGGTACTGTTGTCTTTCAGTTAATTGCTCCATTATATCCCTTTGCAGTCTTTGGCATGATTCATATTCCAATAACCTAAAGTTATATTTAAACATTAATAAAGAAAATTATTAAAAATCATGTTTACAACTTACCATGGATCTTCTCCTATAAAAAGTAGCGACATTATAATCCACAAAAGTTATAATATCTTAAAAGTATGAAATGAAATTATCAAAAAATTGCAAATTTTAAAGATTAAAACCAAAATAAAAAGACAACTGTCAAATGCCAATGAGACATTTTAAAGTTTATTTGGTTGGTTATGTTTTTTTGTTTTTGTGGTAAACATGCAAATACAATATTGACAACAGTACGAAATAAAAATACCAAAGAAGAAAATTTGTTCAACAAATACTCACAATAATAATACAAAAAATTGTGTGGATTGCACAAATAGGTACATATATTTGTTGTATGGTTTGGTTGACAAAACTGATTTTAAAAGCAAATATCCTTTAGAATTCCTAATCCATTTTTTTAAGTGTACCAAAATGTATGGTAGGAGTAGGAGTAGAAGTAGAAGTAAGAATCGAAGCAGATCTAGACACCATGAATGCAAACTACATTATTATCAAGGGATTTCACACCATTCTTCCAAAGATGACAATCTTAAATACAGAAAAGGTATTATTTCAAAACATAAATATGACGAACAGCAAACAGTAAGAAGAGAAAATAGAAAACCTAATAGAAGAAGTATATCCACCAGTCCAATATCTGATGATCAAATCAGTTTAAAAAATGCAAAATCAGATGCAATATCAGCTACTACAAGTTCTGATCAAGACAATAGGCTTGAAAGATTAGAAAGAATGGTAGAGTTATTGGTCTCTAATACCAATGCATTGCAAGAAAGTATTTCTGAAGTTCCTATTTTGCCAAATGGAAATACCATCCAGGAATTTATTCCAAGGAATGCAACTTATACAACATCCATGTGGTTAAATAGAATTGAAGAAGAGGCTATTAATTTAAATTATGATGAAGGGCAAACAATTAAAATGTTGTCTGATAATATAAATGGTGTTTTAAAAGCTTGGTATAATAGTGTTTCAAGTTTTAATTTCTCTTGGCCTGAGCTGAAACTTTTAATAGTTAAAACATTTCCAGATAATCGTGATTTTGCAAAAACACTAAGAACATTGGTAAATAGAAAAAAACAATGTGATGAAACTTGGACAAATTATTTTTTTAGCAACCTATATTTATTAGAGTGTTGTAAAATAACAGGAACTAATGCGGTATCATGTATAATAGATGGATTTAATAATAAAACAATGGAGGCAGAAGCTAAAGAAAGTAACTTTTTAACACCTGAATCACTTTATTCAATGTATATGACTAAATTTCCTGATTATGAACAATCAGTTTCACCAAAAAGAGAAATGATTACATATGGACATATATTTGAAGCTCATTCCACTGAGTTACCTTCTTCTTCAGTGGAAGATTGTCGGTTAAAATTAGAAAAAAAGAAAAGATTTCCTGTGACATGGAGGTAAACAATCAAAGTTTTAAAATTGTTTAAAATATTTATAAGCATTATTATGAACCTCATGTAAAGATATTTATAAATAATGTAGCAGCAATTGGATGTTTAACATACTTTTTATAAGAATAAAGGTTTTTCAATACCAAAATTTAGGGATCCAGTGTAAGAACCAAAACAATGAAAATTTACAGGAAGTAAAAAAAACGCTCCTATAAATAAACCTAATGGTTTAAATAAAATTTCGCTTGGCATAGATTTTGTCAATTGCAGCCAGGAGTGAATAGGTATATTAATTTATTGAAGGTGACTTTATTGGAGCGTTTTTTTAATTTCCTCAACTTGTAAAATTTTATTGGAGATATATCTCCCGGTATACCGGGTTCTTGCACTGGAGTCCAGTGTCTGGACCCCTTAATTGAACTAAACATTTTTGTTTATTTAATTAAAACCTCCCTAAACCCAATTAAGACTATTTTTGAGGTGCACCATACATTTATGCATAAAAATGATTTTGAGATAGTTATAAAGTAAGTAATAATTTTGTTTATATTTTAGGAATATCCAGCTAAAGCTGTTGTAGATGGGTAGTGTGATCTAATTCTTGAAGTTCTATCTCTATCAATTTCCAATGTTTTTCTTTTAACCATTATTTCTCTCTCCAGATCGCTTCTTGCCTTAACCAAAGCAGTTTGGGAATCTTCAGCCTGCTTTAACTGAGCTTGTAAAGCAGCCACATTTTCTCCTAACTCTTTTACTTCTTCTAATAGCCCAAAATGTGCCTCATCGCGACAATTTTCAACGCGTGGTCTCATTTGCCTGTTGTTTAAGCGCGTTTGGGCTTTCTTCATTGGAAAATCTAGTCTTCTGATTGCAGCCCTTATCGCGTCTACAATGCTTTCTACATCTGCAAGTCTCTGTAATATTTTTAACAAATCTACTTCTAATCTCTTGGAAGTTTCCTCAGTACATGCAATTCTTCTGGATAATGCTAATTCAACACGGTCAGCCTGCGATCTCAGATCACGAGCTGCATTTATAAGAATAGCATCCAAAGTACCTCTTAGAGTCACTGATCTTTGTCTAGTTGCTTCACCTTCCTGCAATATTTCCCTGGTAAAGTGTTCCCAGTAATCCAGAGTCGATTGATCATCTTGACAAATCACCGAGCCAGGATGGAACATCAGGACAGTTGACTTGGTAGTTAGAGCCTGATTAAGCGTTTCTATTCCGTGCGAGATTATTTTATCGCTCCAGTCGTATTCAAGACGCGCCTTAGCAGTCTTATCTTCAGTTAATTGCGCTTGTACATCCTTTAATGTCCTTGCAAATGTCTCGCGAATCTCCGCAGTCAAAGCCAACTCTTTCATCAGTTCAACTTCAACCTCGTCTCTTACAAGTTCCGGATCCAATCGTCCTGTTCTTCTTTCAAGGCATTCGCCAGCAATGGCTTCAGGGAGTTGAAGAACGGCACTCGCTTGCTTAAGACGTTGCCGTTGTTCTTCCATGAAAGTAATCTCCTCGGATGCTGCGGCAATAGCGCGTTCTAACTCGCATTTCCATCTGTGTATTTCAAGTTCTCGCTGATTTAATCTGTTAGTAGTTTTTTCTTGGTTTTTATCTACATCTGCTTGGGTTTGTTCCAAACATTGCCGACTGTTCCAATCTATTAGATTGGCTCTATGTTGTTCAATAGCAGCCATTTCCAAAATCTCCTTGTTGTGTTTTCTCCATTCAGCTTCGCTAAACCGAGTTATGGAATACTTGTCCACTATTGGTCTTGTTCCTGTAAGCCCTGAAAGTGGCCCCCAATCTATTCTTCCAGTAGCCCAAGGCCCTACAGGGACCATGGGCGCTTCAGCGTCCTGAGGAAACTCGTCACCAGGTTGAGGTAAGTAGCATGGTGGATTAGCATCACCTACGATTTCAGGAATATATGGAGAAGGAGCTTCCTTGTTTTCTTCCGGAGGTGTTCTCCCTGCTGTAGCATGCATTTCTGCCTGCGGTTGTTGATAATTTTGAGCAGGATGGCAGCAGCAATCGTTTACTCTTAAAGCGTTTGCAGAATTTTTTAAAATACCTTTCACGTAAGTGTTTTTGTCATCTAAATCGCACTTTGTATCAATGGGTCTTTTGTTTAAGGATTTATAATTATAACATTCAGTTTCACATTTTTCAATGCCTGGAACGTTACCAGACTTTGTTGAATGTTTTACACAACACTCTTTAGCTTTTAAATCGATTTTACTGGTTTGTTCGAATCGGGGAGGTTCGTTCTTAGCCTGAAAGTGGGCAATATTATGGCACGAGGCGCAATCCTTATCTTTTTGTTCTTGTAAATCCATATCCCTGTTTGATCAATAAAATTAAACAGGGTTTAAAAATGCATTAGAAAAATAAAATTGTCAAAATTGTATGTTTATTACTATTGTCATTTTTACAATTAAATTTATTTGTGGTGGTCAAAGTAGCACTATGTATATATACATGCTATATAGCAACCCGATAAAAAAGATTGTAAAGTTCATTTTTTTTATCTGGACTGCGGCAACTTTGCAAATTTAGGGTTTTGGTTGGTAAATACAGTTGTCAAGTTGGTCGCATTGATTAAAACAAACTAATTAGCTATGTAGTTATAAATCTAATTATGGTTATGTATAAATTATTGTAGGTTACATTGTGCAGTTGTCAAGTTGAGTTGTCGAAATTCGTAGTTAAAAATGCAATTAATTTGGCTTTGGTGGTGCTTGGATGAGTAAAATCTTAAATTAAAAGTAGTTAAATATAGGTCGCTTTACGGCCCAGAAGAGAAAGTATTCCTAGCGGATAATAATCTTCGCTTTGAAAAGAATTTATATAAAAGAAATTAAAATTTTTTGCGAATGTAAATGTTGTCCAATGGTGAATAATGTGAAAATAATGTGTGATGTAATATTATAAAACCAAATTCCTTCCGTTTTTACTCCAAAAATGTCCATAAGGCGATGTACTTTTTCTTCCATTGTAGCTAAGGTGACCAACCGTTCTGATTTAACCAGAACTATACTGTTTTTGAGAACCATGTTCTGGTTGTAAATTAAGTAAAGTAAAAGTTCTGTTTTTCAAAAGATTTTCTGTTTTTTTCTGTTTTCATACCTACATATACCTACAATACTAATTAAGCCATAAACATAAAATTATATTTTCCACTTTGCCAGATTTTTCGCCCAATCGTGCACCCTGCTCGCCCTACTCCCACACTTGGCTCTCCCCAAACGAACTAATAGTTCGGAATTATTTTAGTATTGCGCATGTCCCTGACGTCTGCGCGTTTTATTGTGGTTAAATATTGTAATATCTATTTTTTTTATATTTCAAACTCTAAATGCATCTTGCAGAAATGCAAAAGAATTACCCATATTGTTGTGTTTATCTTGAACAAATAGTCCTGTAGAGAAAGTTTTTTCCAATATGAACAACTTTTGGATAAAAGACAAATCACAATTGGATATTAAAACACTAAAATCATTATTAATTGTTAAAACTAATTTCGATCAAACATGCTTAAAAAAATGAAGTACTAATAACCCTGTTGTAAATGACCGATTAATTCCTGTAGAAACCAATTGAAGTATTGGTTGGTATCAATGGGTCTGAATTGGACTTACTGGATTTAATTGGGCGCGATATAAAACAGAAATTGGTTTTTACTGGTATTTTCCATGATGGAAAATACCAGTTAGGATTCTAATGGTTTTTATTGGTTTCGATTGGATAAAGCTACCTATAGGTAATTTCCAATTGAATTCAATTGGGCATTCCCAGTGTAAGATTCGAAAAATCTGCTAATTGGTTATTCCCAATACAATACAAATATCGCAAGAGGGCTCTCGTGTAGCTGCGCAAAATCAACGAGGTTGAGACGCCATCATAAAGAAAAAACGTCTTTGGACGCCATTTATTAGCGGTTTATTTTATTAGTCGATTTCAGTGTTAAGTGCCTAGTGTTAGTAGTCTACTTATATATTAAAAAAATGTTTATATGTGTAACATTACATTTCAGTGTTAAGTGCCTAGTGTTAGTAGTCTACTTATACATATATTAAAAAAATGTTTATATGTGTAACATTACATTGTGTAAGATTTAGGGATTTAGGCGATAGTAAGTTATATGTATAAATACATACATATATCACAAAAAAAATAATAAATAAATAAAATTACTTAGTAACAATAAATTTTTTGTCTCTTCTGTAAAAAATGAATTCTGGTTTTTACCCGGTTATCCTTCTGGGATCTAAAATTATTTTTGAATGAAAAATAAACTGGTAGGTATTTTCTAATCCAAATTTTAAAAAATTAATTGGTTTAAATTGGTTGGAATGGGTTTGGTGCTATGAATTACCAATTCATTCCATGTGCATTTCTATTGGATTTAGCCAATAGAGACAAGCGTAGGCATGGATTGGTATTTTCCAATTCAAGCCGCTGACTTCATTGGAAATTACCAATAGGAATTCAACTGGAATGATTTGGTGATTCATAGCGCCAAAACACATTTCAAACCAATTCAAACCAATTCAAACCAATTGCTTATTTTTTATTGGATTCTATTGGTATTTCCCAATTCAAGCCGCTGACTACATTGGAAATTACCAATAGGAATTCAACTGGAATGAATTGGTGATTCATAGCGCCAAAACACATTTCAAACCATTTAAAACCAATTCAAACCAATTACTTATTTTTTATTGGTTTCTATTGGTCATTTACAATAGGGAAAACAAATTCACTCTCAAGAAAAATATAGTTTCTTAATTTGTAATAATATTATGTTAATAGAAATACATGGAAACATTTTATAAAAAATACAGATTTTGGTTCTGGTTTTTCTTTCAGGAGAGTTGGTCACCTTAATTGTAGCATTTGGCATAATTTCATCAAAATGAAGTTTTGCCCTGAAAAGGGCTTGTACATTCGAATTCGTTGCTATTATTTTTGGCATAATTATCTTTTTATTTATAATTGACAAGTAAATTATCAATAATAAATATTATTGTCAATTTGACAGTGTCAAAGTACCTATTTAATTAAATTTTTTAGCAGAAGTTTCATTTTTAAATCACAGTGACTAGAGGCACGCTAACGTACCGCGATTGAAAATATTAAAGGCACGTTAGTTACGTCATAATTATAATCCGTTTTTGTTCCCCGAGCGTTTAATATTTGACAACAAGCTCATATGGTAGCTAGGGCGGTCGCTTGGCATGCGAGAGGTCCCGGGTTCGATACTAAGAAGTTGTCGAACTTTAAAAAATAAAACTGTATATAATTTTATAAAAAAAAATGGCCCGATATAATTGGATAGCATTCTATACAATTATATAGAAGTATATATAATTATATACCTACATATTAATAATAATAATAGGCTATTATCATATTCCTGCCAAAAGTCACAAACTGAAATTTTGTAAAAATCTTAGTTTAAATTACTAACCAAATTTGTGACCAAAAAACCCTTCCTTCCTTTCTTTTTTCCGTAGATGATGAACAGTACAATTTTCGTATTGTTAATCTTTTATGGGAGGAAGGAAGACAATCTATAAATCAGTCTTAACGCTTACTTACTTCTGAGTATTTATCTTGCTCGGTCGCATATATTTTGACCGGGAAATCGTAGGCGCCTTAAGCCGCCCCTGCCTATTTTATTTTGTATTTTATAATAATTAAATATTATCAATGAATTTAATGACTTTGGCTTATTGATAAACACATAGAACATGAACATTTCTAAATAAATTAAATAATAAAATTTAAATCAACTAAATTTATTGAATTCGTTTTATGTTCTGTGGGCATGCGCAGATAGGTCGAGGTCAAAAAACATGGTGGATAGATCTTGTCAGTGTGAGTTTGCGTCTGTTGTTATTATAAAAATATGCCCTTTCTGGGGCTTAATAATACAAAATGATTGTGTTTAAAGTTTTATAGTGATATTTTGGTTTTGTGAAAATAGAAATCATCAGTTATAAGTTGTTAGAACATTTCCAAAATTATAAACCCAACACAAGAGATACCTACACAGGTAAGTGGACCATATGTCAAATCTTGATCTTTAACATTTAAACATTACAAAAAAGGTTCTTCTTGAACAATTATTAGTATTTCGAAAATAATTACAGGTAAAACGTAAATACCTCCTTATTTTTATAATCTATATAAATGACTATTTACACTCTTTATATTTGTAAGAACCCAAGAGTATATTGATATTTTGTTGTAATTCACGTTCATAGTACTTTTACATTACTTAAAAGACAAATGTTCTTTATATTTATTTATTATAGGCTTCCTTTAGTGGTTTTAGAGATAGGTATAACTTATATATATACCGTATAAGTAAGACTGTCAACTTTGCTGAAGCTGAATGAGGGACAAAATAATATTTGACTCTGGGGGTCAATTTTTCACTAGCAATAAATTCATCATCAAAAATTACAGAAAAATTTCTTAATGTAATAAAAAAATAATACCAACAAAACAAAACCTACTAGAAAACAAAACAATACCCAATATAACACATTATAACATTCTCTTCTTTTGATGTCATAATTTTTGGTACTTTGCTTTTTAACAGAATCCGGATTCTAACACAAGATTTTGGATTTTTTAAGCATCAGATAAAATGCGGGAACGTTACTGCTTTGCCGGACTGTCCTGCCTAATCCAGGATGGTTGGCAGCCTTAGGTTTAATCGGTGCCTGATTTATAAAAATAGTGGAAACATTGAGTAAAGTTATTAATCAATGGTGGAACTTTAACCTTCCTGCAAGGTTTGTTTTCAAATTCCAAACTTTATTTTGCAAAACAAGTACAAAAATGTGTTGTAAAGTAATAAAAGTGGTAAAAAAGCACAGTTTTCTAATTGTTTAAGTTAAAATTATTTTTGTCTAAAGAGAAGAACTGGAGGCCTGTGTATAAGTAGTGTAAAATGTCATCTAAAAAGCTACCCAGTAAACACATGACCTTGATTTTACATCACTAGGTAATGGGTATATAAAGATAATAATTTCATTGTATATTGGAGTGGGCTTAGTTTTGCAGGATCTGATTTATATCCCTTCCTGGACTAAAAAGTAATCAAATTTTAGCGAAATCAATTTATATCCCACCATTCACACTTTTCTGAAAAGCATAATATTTAATAAAAAAATATGGAACTTCGCACAGTTTACGATACCATTTTTAAAATTGTCGGGCAATATATCGAATGCCTATATTCAATTACTTCCAAGGGGGTAGGTATAGTATTACTGTAATACTATTACATAATATGATTTTAAAAATTCGTGAAATAGTTATTTGTTTTTCAAGTGTTGAAAAGCGACTTTTTCATGCGAGTGTTTTAGTTGCTCACAAGGCCGTTAGGCCGAGTGTGCATTAACACGAGCTTGAAGAAAGCTTTCCTCACAAGTGAAACACAATGTTTTTTCTTCGACCCTTTTATTTTTTATTATTTTCAAATACAAAAAAAAACTAAAAAGTATTTGACAGACCTGTCACTTTTCACACAGACCTGTCAATTTTCACACAGAAATGTCACTTTACATTTGTGTTTTGCCTTGCCAATGAAAAGATTCATTTTCTAAGCAACGATGCCATTACGAAATGAGACTTTTACACAGTGGTCGTAGAAAAAATGGTTTTCGATACTCCTTATCGTACTTATAAGCTGTGCGAAGTTTGATAATTTTTTATTAATTGTTAAGTATGAGGCGCCATATGTTCCATAATTATTTTGTTCGATATATAAAATGTTTTGCAGAAAAAATAATATATCAGTAAAATTTACTACAATTTTGCTTATATATATTTTAAAATATAAGTTTTATATAAGTTGATACGATTCAAAAAATATATATATTGAATTTAGCGCCATGCAAAGTTCGATATAAAATTTTTTTAGTTTGAAAAGTCCCCGAGCGATGGCGCTGCCAGTTCATGATTTCAGTATGTGCATGATTTTTGTTTGCGTATGGTGTGTTGCATTAATAAAGTATTCGAATTAAAAAAATCATCATTTGCACACGTATTTTTTAGATAACGGCGGTTGATTTGTAAATTATACGGCTGTAATTACAGTAACTCATCTATATTATTAATGATAGGTAGGTATTTAAATTAATTATACCTACAAAAACAAAAATCATGAACAGGCAGCGCCATCGCTAAGGGACTTTTCAAACTAAAAAAAAATGTATATCGAACTTTGCGTGGTGCTAAATTTAATACAGAGACTCTATGATTTAATATATATATTTTTCTGAATCGTATCAACTTAAATAAAATTTATATTTTAAAATATATATATGCAAAATTGTAGTAAATTTTACTTATTATTTTTTTCTGCAAATTATTTTATATATCGAATGAAATAATTATGAAACAGGGTGCCTCATAGTTATGCGTTTAAGAGAAGTGTGAATGGAAGGCTGTACAAAATACATGTATTTCCCATTACAAAATTCAAATGGTCTGCGGCACGTGTTAATGTTAATCTATTTTGCTAAAATTTTATACAAACTTGTATTTTATATGTGGGCAATCTACCGGATTCAAATAGAACACAAAAATAATATGACAAGTTTCTAACATTTTTTTTCCTACGCCCCCCTCTACGGAGATACGGTCCTATAACGGACACCCCTGGAAATCGTTTGTTTTTAAATAACTTTTGAACTACCAGGTGGAATTTAATAATTTTTTAATATATTGTTTACTAGAAAAGTTTCCTTAAAATGCTCACTTTTAATCACATTCAACTTATTTAGTTTACCAGGGACGGAGTAGCTCTAACAGAGTAAGTAATGCTATTTTTTTTTAACATCCTGTAATATAAAGGCTTGATCGACATCGATAAAATGGACTGTTTACGAAAAAAAAAATGTTTTTGGAATAGGGTCTTTTGTATTTGCACTGTTTTTGTTTAACGATTTAAATAATGTCAGTTGAAAAAAGAGTGTTTTGAAATATAACATCTTTTTCTTCTTTCCAGGGGTGTCTGTTATAATAATAGAGTTTATGCACGATGACATTATAATATGACAATTATAACAAAAATTCTTTGACGTAAACGTCTTTTTATAGCCCGCGGGCGTTATTATGACCCAGCGGGCTATAATGAAACGTCAAAAATTAAAACAATGTTACACCATTTGATATATTCGAAGTAAGTTTTTTCGAATAAAGATTTTGATTTTTCCGGCAGCAGGCCGCAATTTTTCGCCTTTTCAGCTGCTTCCGCAATTTCATTCATCTTTAAACTTTAAAACTGACTGATGTCAGTTGACATTATAATATGACAATTATAACAAAAATACTTTGACGTAAACGTCTTTAAAAACAATAATATATTAAAAATAATACTATATTAATCGTGCATAAAGTTTTGTATGCATTGCTGGCATAACTGGTTTTTATGGTCCTACGACGCTTTTCTAGCCCTCGCGCTAACGCGCTCGGGCTCGAAATAGCGCCTCAGACCATAAAAACCTTATTATGCCCTTAATACATAAATAACTATTATTGCCCAACAGTTTACACCATAGTAGGACATTCATATTATATAACAAAGAGGTTTACAAAAAAAATATTTAAAAAAAATGTGAACAAACTTATAACTAAACTTTCAATCAGATTTATTATTAGAATTTATCTCCATAAGAAAAAAAAATATAGGAACTTGTCATATTATTTTTATGTGTTATATATAAATCCGGGAGATTGTCCACATTTTCTGGGACACCCTGTATAACTTAATTACTCTTTAGGTCTGGGAGGCAGTAGCGTGCCGTATAGGGGGCCAGGGGGGCGGCGGCCCCTCCGCCCTTCTGCACAGACCGTATTTAGCGCCCTAATTAGTTGAAAATTTTGTATCAAATAAAAAAATGTTGTTTTTAAGAAAGTTTGCCCCCTCCGCCCTTTGACCCACGGCACTCTACTGCTGGGAGGGACAGACTTTTCAAAAATAAGCCCCACCCTATAAAATCAAAATTTGTTGCATAAAAATATATTTAAATTATTTGCAAGTAAAGTTTTTAAAAGGAATATGTGATTATTGATAATTATTATACTAAGGATTATTCTAATGGAGAAGTAGGTACTTCAAAATAAAAATTAATATAGACTATCATTTAACACAAATGTTTTGCTAGCCATAAGATAGTAAAATGTAAGATAAATAAAAAGTTGTAATATGTAAATTAATTATTTTATTTATTATTTTGAAATTTTTAAGTTGATACTGCCCTCTTGTATAATATAAGTAGTATATTTAATATCCTTGACAATGGTTTTTGTCCGATGTCGATACCATTTTTTTCAAAAAATAACAAGGGGGGACTTTTAACTTGCTCACTGTATATTGATCCATTATCCCAAGTTGTATTTACTTGGGTATCATCTAAATTATTTGTTTACAGTTTAAAATCAATATTGAAAAAAATATTTTTTTAATTTAGTTTGCCTTAATGATGATGACCACTTTAAAATTTAAAGTGGTCATCATCATTAAGCAGTTTTGAAGTTTTATTATGTAAAAAAAATTAAAATTTAAAGTTTAAATTTTAATTTTTTTTACATAATAAAACTTCAAAACTGCTTATTAATAGAAATTTCACAATACACAAGACACATTTCTGTAGAAAATATTACGCTCTACAAAAAGGTGTTTTTTTCTTAAAACCTATCTATTTAAATGATAAATTTAAAATATATAAAATAATTAAAAATTAAATATCATTTGGGCACCGCCGACGGTGGTCTAGTGGTCTAGTGCATGCTGACTACAAGCCGGAGGTCGTGGGTTCGAATCCCACCAGGGGTATGGCTGTTTATTTGTGTTTGTCCTATTGTGTATTAGTCCTTCGGAGGGGACTTTAAGCCCGCGGTCCGTTCCTACCCCTAACCCGCACAAGCCATTCAGTTGGCTTATGGGACTTCTTAAGAAGTAAGGGTGGAACTAAAAGAGCACTTTTGTATATAATACCTAATATATCAATGTATAAGGCATAATATATCACCCTG